CTATTAATAATAACTGTCATTTATTGGGCTAGAGCACTGTGCTAAGTACTTTACATCAATTCCCTCCCTCCGTCCTCCCAAGCAGCTTGTGAGGCTGGAATTATTGTCTCGAGTGTATACATTGCAAAACTCTAGTTTAAACCCAAGCAGGTCTTTGTCCAAGCCCAGTGACCTGGGACACTGCGGAAGCTCTCTCAGGGTCTGGGACTCTGCTTCTCTGGCGGAAACCCTGCTCTGACCGATGAGATCACAGGCGAAGAGCTAATTAAGCCGGCAGACCTTCCTGTACCTTCCCGGTGCCAAGACAGAGCAGTCCCAGCCCAAGAGGAAAAAAATCAAGTCTGCAACTCTTGGCCCCGCCTCCTGGCTGAAGTCCTGGGAAATGCACTGAGTCACCTAATGGCAGGCTGGGCCCTGCAGAAAATGTTGGCGTCATCTTGCAGGCCACTGCCCCCTCCTACCCAGTCTGGATCTAGCACTGGTGTTTGTCAGGACTCATGCATGGGCCCCATCATAGCGAATGGGCTTTGCCTGGCGAGGCTCTCGGTAATATCAACGCCCTTTACTGATCTCCTTCCTCTGTGCTGTTGACCTTTCTCCCAAGTAGCAGTCAACAACCTTTGCCCCGCTCCATGCTTCCACTATGCCCATCTAGGGAAAATAAAGAAGTAAAGACCGACAGCCTCTAAAGGCGATCGGAAGTTACAAAATCAGCTTTGTGAAAGTAAAAAAAAAAAAAAAAAAAAGAGCCAAGTTGTACCATTCTCTACCTTCGTAAACTATTAAGACTCATGCTGAAGCATGAGTCCCGGTACAAAGGCCCTCTGGGATAGAGCTAAAGGGGTCACTATCACAGTCCCTGAGAGGATGCACAAATACCCCCACCTTCCCTGCCACCAACTCATTCAGACTCGGGAAACAGAGGCCGATTTCCGCTGGGGGTAGTGGGGGTCGACCAGTTGCCTCTGGAGAGGTTTGGACACCAATGTCAACGCTCGCTAATGAGAATGCTGGGCTCCGGCCACGTCACACACAAAAGTGACGCGGTGCGCACAGGCCTGCCTTGGAAACTCTGAGGAGATGGGGTATATGTAACCCTCTGTGAATCAGGTGAGCAGACACCTCAGTATCAAAGGTTTGATTCAGACGAATCTCTCCATATTTTTGTGGCCCTTATTTTCTGTACCCAGGCTGGGCCAGGGACTCCAGTGGCCTGCTGGAAACATCCACCAGATGTCCCACCACTTCCTCCATCTCCTGCCTAACCCCCAAAACACATCCTTCTTTGGCCCCAGCTGAAATGTTCAAAGTGAGTTTCAGGCTTCTGCCAATGACAGCTTCACTTCCCTAGTTACTAAGACACAAAGGCCTCATCAAATCACCCGTAATTATCCCTCTCCCCCGCTTTCATTTTACCCTCGAGGGCACCAAACCCAAAAGACTCTCAAATCCATTTACCCAGTATTTTCTTCCTGGATCTCCCCAGTCCTGAGTCTCCTATTTCCCCGTTTCCTCCCTTCCCACACTTCTCTCCCTTGAATTTCTTCTTGTTCCAGCCCAACAGTCCACACAGCCATCAGAATAATTTCTCTAAAATGGCTCTGTGTACAGAGCACCACTGGCTCCAAAATTTGTTTCAGCGTCCCGTTGACTTTGTGGTCAAGTACAAAGCCTGGCATTCAAGGCCCTCCCAAAGCAACTCCAACCCACTTCTACTGTCTACTTTCTACCGTTCACCTTGACCCTCTACTGTATCCCCCAAACAGCTCCCTGCCTCTCTGGGCCCTTTTTAAAATGTTTATTCACTTTGTGAGAGACAGAGAAGCAGAGGGAGGAGAGAGAATCCCAGTAGGCTCCCCACTGTCAGCACAGAGTCTGACACGGGGCTCGATCCCACGTACGGCGAGACCGTGACCCAAGCCGAAATCAAGAGTTGGCTGCTCAACCGATTGAGCCACCCAGGCTCCCCTCTCTGGGCCTTTTATTGACTCCCATTGCCCTGCACGCTACAGATGCTCCCTAGGCATGGCCAGCCCACCTTCCTCTCTGCCTTTTGAAGTCTCATTCATATACTACCTCCTCCAAGAAGCCTTCCCTGAATACCTGAAGCCTCAAAATGAATGCTCCTTCCTCTAAGTTCAAGAAGAACCTCACATAGTTCACAGGAGACTTACTGAACACAGCTTTTTGGTCATAGATGTGTCTGGGCTCCCCAGAAAAAACCACAGCTCACAGAGCACAGGGACAATAGTGATTGTCCTACTATCCCTCAGCAACAGGCATTTAGCAAACACTCAATTCAATGTGCTTTCATTAAAAGTGAAAGAATGAATCAGTAGTTTGGTGGCTATAACTCCAAACACAAGACCGACAGCACTTTCTGGAAAATGCCCCAAAATCTGAGAAAAAAACACATTATACAAAGATTCGTTAGTATAAAAGGTTGAACTTAGGTGATGTCAGGTTACAAAGGTACTGAACTCTAAGTCATGGGCAATTAGGACTTTTCTGTAGCCCAAATCTTTTCTTTTTAATTTGTTAATGTTTATTTATATTAGAGAGAGAGATAGAAAGAAAGAGAGACAGAGACAGAGTGTGAGCAGGGGAGGGGCAGAGAGAGAGGGAGACACAGAATCCGAAGCAGGCTCCAGGCTCTGAGCCGTCAGCACAGAGCCTGACGCGGGGCTCGAACTCAGGAACAGCGAGATCATGACCTGAGCCGTAGTCAGATGCTTAACTGACTGGGTCCCCCAGGATGCCTCTGTAGCCCAAATCTTAAACCCAGCCTATAGCGCATATAATCCCCAAGGCAACGTCTGTTGCTTTTGTTTGTAATAATAAAGAAAAACCGTAATAATAATAGTTTTTATTTAAAAAGTATTCTCTTGGACCTTGAGGTGAGAAGTAGCTTTCTAGAAGGAAGCAAGTCTCGTTGATCAGCTCTGAGTTTAGTGCTTGCTGTGTTCTAGGCACCGTTCAAAGCTTGGGTACTCAACCACATCACTCTAAAAAGCACCCCCACCTGCATGGAGTTTCTATTCTAACAGGGAAGACAGACAATAAGCAAGTACACAAATTTCCTTCTGTCAGGTTATGACAGGTGCTGTAAAGGAACACACCCAGAGTGGGAGATGAGGTGTGGCAAAGGCTGGTCCCTGAGTGAATATAGGGCTTGATGTCACAGGATTGATTGTCTTCCTCCATAAAACTGTCAAGGCCCTTACGATAAAGGGCTGCTATATAAAACGCAACAGAGATACGGAAATAAAAACGTCATGATATATGCCTTAAATAGAGAAGTTTATCTTACTTTCTATCACAGTCCCTGGCATAAAGTGGGCATTCAATAAATATTGGTTGGGGGGGACACCTGGGTGGTACAGTCCGTTAGTCCAACTCTTGATTTCGGCTCAGGTCATGATCTCACGGTTCGTGAGTTCTAGCCCCGCGTCAGGCTCTGTGCTGACAGCCCAGAGCCCACTTGGGATTCTCCTTCTTCTTCTGGCTCTCTGTTCCTTCCCCATTTGTGCTCTCTCTATATATCTATCTACCTCTATCTCTCAAATAAATTTAATTCTTAAAAAACGTTTTAAATAAATAAAAATTGGTTGGATGCATTACTTGCTAAGGGGTCTACAGAATGCCCAGCCTTCAACCAGATGATAAATTCCCCCTTCTAAAATAAGGAATGGTAGGGGCGCCTGGGTGGCTTAGTCGGTTAAGCGTCCGACTTTCGCTTAGGTCATGATCTCGCGGTTCGTGGGTTCGAGCCCCACGTCGGGCTCTGTGCTGACTGCCAGCTCAGAGCCTGGAGCCTATTTCAGAGTCTGTATCTCCCTCTCTCTCTGACCCTCCCCTGCTCACGCTGTCTCTCTCTCTCTCCTAGAAAAAAATAAAAATATTAAAAAATAAAATAAAATAAGGAATGGTAACCAGCTAATGTCTGAGTCAAAAATGCTGCCTTCTGGTTGGTCCCTGACCCTTGAACCAGACAGCCACGAACAGCCGAGCCCAGGGTAATCCCGTACCACCTTGAAGACAAAAAGAAATTCATTTGTTGCCTTTCTTGCATCCTCAGTAGCTTCTGGAACAAACCGCGCTCGCCAACGACGCAAAGCAACTGGGCCTTCCAAACCTTGGCTCTTCTGTCTGAATCTCTGTCCCCTAAATTCCAAATTCCAGGCGTCTGTAGGTCCACGGAAAGACGGGAATGGGGTATGAGGACTTTGCTGTGGCTTAGGTAACAAACCGCCTTGCTGTTCCTTCCCTTTCCACTATCTCTGTCTGAGAATGCCACCTGCTTCCGCCCGAGGACCACGTGCCCGAAGGGTCCCCCTCCCTGCACCGGCCTCCGGGCTGGCTTGCTGAGAGGTGGCCCCTTGCAGGTGAGAATGAGGACAATTCAGGTTGAAGTTGAAACAGGCCTTCCTGTCACCTGTCTGGTGCCGGGAAGGAAAGGGCCCTCGTCCTTATCCGGGGGGGGGGGTTCGTAAACTGAGGTTGCAAGAGCCTTTGCTGAGCCTTCCCCCAACACGCCACTAATGGAACCTGATGTCGTGCCACGCTCCCATGAATCTCTTGGGCTACCCCAGTTTCCTCCCCAGCAACCTACCTGAAAGGCAGACATCCCCCCGTTCTGGAAAGATCTAGAGCCTTCCGGTTTTCCTGGCTTCAGAGCCTCCACTCCCTGCTCCAAGCTTCTGTCTTCACTGTCAGCCCCGCCTCCCACCCGGCCCCTTGGGTCACTACCCACGCCCCAGAGTGACGGCTGCCTCCGCAGAGAAGGATGGCACCGCGCTCTTAATCGCTAGCTTGGGTGACACCTGGCAACCCCGAGGGCTATTGACATCACACCTACATAAACAGCGTGACTGTCCCCAGACAAAAGCAATATCTGCTCACACACCTTTACAGAGGCAAGGTGGCGCTGGCTTCGCTGGCTCTCAAACCATTCGAATGAAATGACAGGGCTTGAAAGAAATGGAATGCTTCTTACCAACCTGTGCTGACTGCTTCGGGCAATTTCAGCCAAAACCCATTCGCAGGGAAGCCAGTGAGTCAAAGTTACCAGGACTGAACGGCTGTTCAACAAATAGTTACTGAGTGCCTGCTCTGTTCTCGGCTCCAGGAATAGAGCAGATCATGAAACCAGCTTACAGAAAAGAAACAGAAAAGAAACATTAGCATGCCAGGTAGTGATAGATACTAAGAAGAAACAAATAGGCTAGAATTTTTCTTTTTTCTTTCTTTCTTTTTTTTTTTTTTTGGTTTTATTTAATTTTGAAACAGAGACAGAGCACTAGTAGGGGAGGGGCAGAGAGAGAGGGAGACACAGAATCCGAAACAGGCTCCAGGCTCCGAGCTGTCAGCACAGAGCCCAACACGGGGCTCGAACCCACGAACTGTGAGAGCATGACCTGAGCCGAAGTTGGACGCTTAACCCGACTGAGCCACCCAGACACCCCAAGAATTTTTCAGTATTTTACATTTTAATGGTGGCATTTAGGGCAGTACCTGGCAGGCACTTAGCATTTACTGAATGCAGAAATACCTTCCACTGAATGTTTTTTAAGTTCTGCAATATTTTCATTGCTCTCTGCTGCTGAGTACTTCCTCTTTTTTCTTCCTTTTTACCAAAGCACTTTTATCATTTAGATCTCCAGTAAAGAACTCTACCATTAAAAAAAAATGAGTAACAAGACGCAGTTGATAAAATTTTTAAATTCAGGCAGCTGACACACATACCATATTCCACCTTGCTCCTAATCAAAAACATTTCAAGTAGAACAGCAAAGAAAAGATTCCATATTTCATCCAAAAAACATATGAGAGTTTTCTTTTAATGTTTATTTATCTTTGAAAGAGAGAGAGAGAGAGAGGGAGGGAGGGAGAGAGCACACATATATATGAGCAGGGGAGGGGCAGAAAGAGAAGGGGACAGAGGATCCAAAGCGGGCTCTGTGCTGACAGCCCCATGCGGGGCTCGAACTCACAAACTGTGAGATCATGACCTGAGCTGAAGTCAGACGCTTAATGGACTGAACCACCCAGGTTCTTTTCTGTACTTTTTCACCAAAAATGATTAAATGTATATTTTTTATTTTAAAAAAATAAGGCATCCAAATTTAAGGCAAGATAATTTCCTCAAAATTCTTTGCAAAGAATTTCCTAAGTCTGTGGCTTTAGGACCTTTATAAACTCCAGCCTTGAAGCCAAGTCATTCTATCAGATACAAGAGCGAATGAGGACGCACTCGATGAAGTTTCGAAGGCTCCCACTTGTGGGGCACAAATCACAAGAGTTAATTTCTTCTGCTAGGGCTCCCTAATTAGCCCAGTCTGATGGTTTTCCCTCCTGAAAATATATATAAGCTCATTCTGCAGAAATCTAGTTTCCACCCTACAATCATTTCTTCAACACATTTTTTTTTATGTTTTATTTATTTCTAGGAGAGAGAGAGAGAGAGAGAGAGAGAGAGAGAGAGACAGCATAAGCAGGGGAGGGTCAGAGAGAGAGGGAGTCACAGACTGAAACAGGCTCCAGGCTCTGAGCTGGCTCTCAGCACAGAGCCCGACACGGGGCTCGAACCCACAAACCGCGAGATCATGACCTAAGCGAAAGTCAGACGCTTAACCGACTAAGCCACCCAGGCGCTCCTCTTTAACACATTTTTTAATGTTTATTTATTTTTGAGAAAAAGACAGAGCGTGAGTGGGGGAGGGGCCAAGAGAGAGGGAGACACAGAATCTGAAGCAGCTCCAGGCTCTGAGCTGTCAGCACAGAGCCCAACGCAGGGCTGGAACCCACGAACCGTGAGATCATGACCTGAGCCGAAGTCAGATGCTTAACCGATTGAGCCACCCAGGCACCCCAAGAATGAACCACTTTCAAGGGCATCTAAAGTCTGGTGTTTTCGTCTCCTTTGGCCACTAGAACTAATTACCACAAGCTTTCGTGGCTTAACACAACTCGAGTGTATTCTGCTGCCGTTCCCAAGGGCAGGCGCCCAAACTGAGATTTAGAGGGGTGCAATCAACGTGTTGAGAGGGGCTGGCTCCTGCTGGGGGCCCCCCGGGGGGTGGGGCAAGGGTTCTTGCCACTTCCAGCTTCTAGCGACCTCAGGGCTTCTAAGCTCGTGACCACCTCTCTCCAGCAGCTGCCTCTGGCATCCCATTGTCTGACTGGGACACACACACGCACACGCACACGCGCACACACGCACACACACACGCACATGCACACACACGCACGGCTTGCTCTTAGGAGGACTCTTTTGATCACATGTGACCCACCCAAATATTGCAAAATAATCTCCCCTTTTCAAAAGCCTTAACCACGTCTGCAAGGCTCTTTTTGCCATAGAAGGTAACACGCTTACGGGCTCTGGGGGTTAGGATGTGGACATCTTTGGGGCGCTGTTATGCTCGCTGCCACATCCCGTGTTCTGTTACCACATTCGCGATATTTCCCATTTCTGCATATCATCTTTTACCTGAGTCACTTTTCTTTTTTTTTGTTTTTTTGTTTTTTTAAAAAAAGGACTAAAGTCAACTGGGTGGCTCAGTCAGTTAAGCGTCCAACTTCGGCTCAGGTCATGATGTCGTGTTTCATGGGTTCGAGCCCCGTGTCGGGCTCTGTGCTGACAGCTCGGCGGAGTCTGGAGCCTGCTTTGGATTCTGTGTCTCCCTCTCTCTCTGCCCCTCCCCGGCTCGTGCTCTGTCTCTCTGTCTCTCAAAAGTAAACATTAAAACAGTAATAAAAAATAAATAAAACCTCAAGTGTCCGTGTCTGTACCATGTAACATCGCTTTGCAGGCCACCGGTATGACAAAGGCTGTCCTTCGGGGGAGGAAAATAGAACCCAGCCGGCTGGCTCTGCAGAAGAGGGGAAATTGTCCCAGAGCACACAGCAGCAAAGAGTGAAATTTCAGCAGCACCCACAACCTCTCCCCCCCCACCCCATCTCCGGGCTCATTAATCACAACTCGAAGCATGTCAGCGTTTCCTCAATAGCATCCCCACTCTGGTGACTCATATCATCTAGTGCTCGGGTCCCCTTCGGTGACACTCATGGGTCTTTTATATTTAGGAAGCGGAGCCTCCCACTGCTTCCCATGTCGACCGACATTCCTGGCATCCTATTTCTCTGTGTTAAACAGCTGCGTGGGAACTCGGTGCACGTTTGGACAGCACCCAGGCGCTGGGGAAGAACAAGCTGAAATGGGAGGTCAGTGGCCGGCGGAGACTTTGAGCCGCGTCCCCTGGAATCTGACCCAGCTGCAGGCTGGACCTCAGATACCACTTCAGAGAAGTCAGTGCTGCTTTCCATACACACAGCGTGGGATGATATAATCACCCTCCTCTTCCATAACCATCGGCGTGCAATAAAAATAGCTTTCATTCATTGGATACTTGGTATGGGGCGGGCCCTGTGACAGGTACCCGCCAAACATCCATGCACACAACTCTGTGAAGTAGCTCTTAGTCTCCCATGTTACAGATGAGAAAGCCAAGTCTCGGAGGAGTTAAGCAATTTGTCCGAGTTGCACGGCAGGCATGACAAAGCCTGTGTTCACAGAGGCTGGGAAGACACAAGAGAACTTCAGAAATCCACCTGAGATGAGGAAGAAAGGTGGGGAGCCCAGAGAGGGTGAGCAACCTGCCTGAGGACACACAGTTAACAGGACTGAGGAGTCTTCGATGCCCAGACCAGTTCCTTCTTTCCGATTTTCTCTCCTGAGCTACTGTGTGTTCGGACGCCTGCCTGATGGGCTTCTGTGTTCTCTCCACTAACCAACTGACTCCTCCCTGGTGCTTCCGTACGGTCATTTTCCCTCGGGTTGCAAGCTGCAGAGAAATCTAAGGAGAACTGCAGAGTGACCTTCACTCTCTCTTCCTCCGACCCACAGGAAAAAAAAAAAGACAGAAAGTGCTAGAAAATCTCTGTGAGTCTGTATTCCCTGATTTGGAATTAGTCATAATTTAACCAGAAAAGGATTAAACTTTACTTTTCTCCTTCCCCTCCCCACCAAAAAACAGATTGCTAAGCAGATAACACAGTGGGAACGAGGTCAGATGGGCTCATGATCAAAAGGGGAACTTGTTAATGAAAACTTTAACCCAGAAGAACCTAAGTGTCCATCAACAGGGTATGTGCCTGTATCCACACAACGGGGCGGCTGGAAGACTCGGTGAGTTGAGTGCCCAACTCTTGATTTAGGCTCAGGTCATGGTCTCAGCATCGTGGGATCAAGCCCCATATCAGGTTCCATGCTGAGCATGGAGCCTGCTTAGGATTCCCTCTCTCTTCCTCACTACATCTCCTCACCTCAATGCTCTCTCTCTCTCTCAAATAAATAAATATATAAATGAAATCAAATGAAATATATCCACACAATGAAGTACCATGGTACCACTAACAATGTCATAGAACTATGTACAATATGAGAACAAATTATGAGAAGTAAATCAAAAGTATAAATATAAATTAAGATGACTCTGCTTTTATTTTTATAAGCACATGACTCCAGAGAAGGTGATTGATATTTTCTTTTTTGTGTATACCTGTACTTTCCAACTTTTCTACAGCGAATACAGATTACTTTCTCAATCCAAGGAAGGGAAAAATAGCATTCAAAACTGAGAATAACAATGAGATATAACTTTTCGCTAATCAGAGGAGAAAACTTTAAAATAAATGATAATGTGGGAGCCTGGGGGGCTCAGTTAGTTAAGTGTCCAACTTCAGCTCAGGTCTTGATCTCACAGTTCGTGGGTTTGAGCCCCGCGTCGGGCTCTGTGCTGACAGCTCAGAGCCTGGAGCCTGCTTCGGATTCTGTGTCTCCCTCTCTCTCTGCCCCTCCCCCACGCATGCTCGCTTGCTCTCTCAAAAATAAAATAAACATTTTAAAATGTTAAAAATAATAATAAAATGAATGATAATACTCAGTGCTGTTAAAAGTATGAGAAAGCCAGGGCACCTGAGTGGCTCAGTTGAGTGGCTCTTGATGTCAGCTCAGGTCACGATCCCAAGTTTTGTGAGATAAATCCCCACATGGGGCTCCATCTGACCTTGTTCCCACTGTGTTATCTGCTTAGCAATCTGTTTTTTGGTGGCAGGGGAGGGGGGGAAGTAGAAAGGTAAAGTTTAATCCTTTTCTGGTTAAATTATGACTAATTCCAAATCAGGGAATACAGACTCACGGAAATTTTCTAGCACTTTCTTTCTTTCTTTCTTTCTTTTTTGCTTAAGATTCTCTCTCTCCCTCTCTCTCTCTCTTCCTCTTCCCTCTCTCTCTCTCTCCCTCTCTCTCTCCCTCTTCCCCTCACCCCCACTCATGCGTGCTGTGTCTCAAATTAAAAAAAAAGTACGGGAAAGCCAAAGCTTTTGTATAACGCTGGTCAGAGTGCAAATGTTGTAACTAATCATAGTTACCATGATGGATTGAATACTTGTATCTTTACTTCCTCTTGAAACACAACAACAAAGGCAAGCCAAGAATCCTAAAGGACGGAAATCCACCAGACCAGTGTACAGGAGAGAGGACAATGGTGGACCCAAGATGTTACCGGAATCTTGGGAAATGGAAGGTATACTGGTGAGGGGTAGGTGAGGGAGTAGATCCGAGAAGGCTGGAAACTGCATGCCAACCGACAGGCTCAGGAATCGGAGGTACCAGCTATGTCACAGGGCGCGTTGGGGTGGGGCTAAAAACAAGAAGATCTGCTGAAAGTACGGTGTGTTTACAAAGCACTCAGAGGCTGACTTCACAGCCCACGCAATTGATAAGCCAGAGTATTTATGGCTCCCACCCCAGCAGGAAGGGGACATTTATTCTCTGGAGAAACTACCCCAGGGAAGCTCCAGATCAGGGGACACTGAGTACCCAGAAGGCAAGGCTAAGTCACCATACCACAAAGAGAAGGGGGATAGAGGGAGAGCAGAGCCTTCAAAGGCTGCATATTGAATGATGAGATCCCAGGTTCCTTCCCCGGACAGCGTGCCCCCCACCCAATGCTCTCCTCCTCCAGACAGGAGATCAGAGACTTTCTCTCAACAGACCTAACTGGGTCCAGAAAGGTCTCCCAACCAAATGGCCTGAGCCGCCCACTGGATTGCCTCAGGGAGAAGCCCAACAACAAACAGGACCCCTCACCCGAGCCCTCCCCACACACATGAGCCCTCCCCCCTCACCTGAGCCCTCCCCGCCACACCCACACGGAGCCTCCAATCAGCTTCTAGTTCCTCGATCATGAAGATGAACATTTAGCAAGGAACTGCCAAACATTTGAAAAAGCCTCCAATGTAAAAGATAGAACAAAAGCACACAAAAGAAATTTAGGAGTAGTAGATACAATGAAACAGCAGTAATTTGGAAAAAGAATAACTTTAATGTTTATTTTTGAGAGTCACACGGCGAGCAGGGGAGGGGCAGAGACAGAGAGGGAGACACAGAATCCAAAGCAGGCTCCAGGCTCTGAGCTGTCAGCACAGAGCTTGATGTGGGGCTCGAACCCACCAACCATGAGATATGACCTGAGCCGAAGCTGGATACTTAACTGACGGAGACACCCAGGCGCTCCAAAAAAGAAAAACTTTAATATCTTCAGAGAAATAAAGATATCATTACATCCATAAAACAAGAACATGATGCTACAAAAAAGGAGCAAGACAAGAACCTTTTTGTCTTTAAATGGGGGTTAAAATTAAAATATGTAGTTTAAAAACAGATGGAAATAGAGATTATCTGATGTGTCTGTTCCTAGTAAGAAAAATGTAAAAACCCTGTCGGAGGAGAATCAGTGATATATATGTGAAAACTAAGAAAACAAAAAACCAAAGTAACCATCAACTCCAGGGGGAAAAACTAAGACAAAAGGAAGAAAATAGTAATAATAAACTAGATAGCTCAGAAAACAATACTTACATAATTTTGGCATAACATACTTCTATCATATAAACATGAACACTGATTTAACCAAAATTTGTGATATAACCATATCAGGAAGATGTGGGAGCATTAATATAGACAGGGTGTTGTATCCTTACCTTTCATAAGATGCAAACAAATAATGACTACAATAGAAAAGAGAATAGCCATACAACCACTTTAGAAATAACTAAAATAGGGGCGCCTGGGTGGCTTAGTTGGTTAAGCGTCCAACTTTCGCTTAGGTCATGATCTCGCGGTCCGTGGGTTCGAGCCCCGCGTCAGGCTTTGTGCTGACTGCCAGCTCAGAGCATGGAACCTATTTCAGAGTCTGTGTCTCCCTCTCTCTCTGACCCTCCCCTGATCGCTCTGTCTCTCTCTCTCTCTCTCTCTCCTAGAAATAAATAAAAATATTTTTTAAAAAATCTGCTACAAACAACTAAAATAATTGAAAGTGTTTATGTCTGCTAGGAAGAACTTGGAAGTGGGAAGATGAGTCTGGGAAATGCTATTTTTTATTGTGCTGCTTTAATAAAAAAAATTTTAAATAAAAGTATGACATTAGAGGATTTTGGATGAATGAATTAAGACTGCAAATAGATGCATAAACTTACACCCAGCAGTCAGCTTGTCAGGATTTATACTAAGGAAATAATAGGGCTAGTATGCAAAGATGTACGTTCAATGATGGTTACTGGAGCATTGTTTATTATATAGCAAAAATAGGAAATAGCCTAAACATCCATTGATTTAATAAATTCTGGTATGTCCACACACTGGAATACTACACAACTGTTGAGAAAGACAAGATAGGGGGGCACCTGGGTGGCTCAGCCGGTTAAGCGTTTGACTCCTGATTTTGGCTCAGGTCATGATCTCACAGTTCGTGGGTTCAAGCCCTGTGTTGGGCTCTGTGCTGACAGCTCAGAGCCTGGAGCCTGCTTAGGGTTCTGTGTCTCCCTCTCTTTCTGCCCCTCCCCCACTCATATTCTGTTTCTCTCTCAAGAATAAACATTAAAAATTTTTTATTTTTTTTTTTTAGTCTAGAAATCTATATGCCAAAATGGCCATAGTCATCTTTGGGGATGGAATCATGCAAAAAACTTTCACTTTCTCTGTATAGTTGGGGTTTATAGCATCTATCGTGCCAGGAAAAAAAAAAAAAAGATCTAATTCCATTTAGAAAATGAAATAAAAGTAAGGGCATCGGGGTGGCTCATTCGGTAAAGTGTCCGACTCATGATTTCAGCTCAGGTCATGGTCTCATGATTCGTGGGTTCGAACCCCGTGTTGGGCTCTATGCTGACAGCCTAGAGCCTGCTTGGGATTCTTTCTCTCTCTTTTCTTTCTCTCTCTCTCTCTCTCTCTGACCCTCCCCCGCTTGCACTCTCTCTCAAAATAAATAAATAAACTTTAAAAATTAAAAGAAAGAAAATGAACTGGTTCAGAAGCCACCCGGGGAAGCCCAGGAAACAGAAAACCAGCTCGAGGGATCTGAGGCAGACGTGGACAGGCAGTGCGGTGTCGGGAAGCCACCAAAGCAAGCCTCTGGTGTCACGGCCAGACACAGCCAGCTCCACACGCCGACCTCAGCCTTTGACAGCCCCCCCCCAACCATGGCCGATGAGGATCCCCAGCACCAGGAGCCCTGCACCCTGGCGTCTCTCCAGGCCCCCCTCACCTGGCCCAGACCTTCTCCAATCACACGCTCCCAAGCCACCTCAGGCACCCCTCTTCCCAGGAGCAGGACAGTACCTGGTCCCCGTCCCCAGGCTCACCGATCAGACCAAGAGCAGCACCCTGGGGCTGGGGGGTGGGGGGAGGGCCAGGCTGGACCTGCTGAGACAGAGCGGAAGTCAACAGGAAGCGTGAGAATCACCCTTTGACAAAGGCGCGCAGGCACAGGAAGTGGGTTGGGGGGTGAAAGGCCAGGGGGCTGTCATCTGGAAGTGAGGCAACCTTGCCAGCTTCCCTCGGCTCTGAGGAAGGAAGAGAGATGAAGCCTTACCTCCCCGGCCACCCTTCACGGCTCCCCATCTGCACCACACGCATCCAGGACCCCCATCCCTGTATTTGGACAGGAAGGGCAGGGGAAAGGCTGTTCCTCGCTAAGCACGCGAGGCACACAGAACACGTGAGATGGTGAAGTCAGAGAGCCACCTGCCACCGCTGGTAGCCGCCGGGCCTGCACTAGCTGCTTGGGGGCCCGAGTCTTACTTTCCCCATCTATGAAATGGACGCGATTCCCATGCTGGCCTCACAGTGCGTTTCAATGTGCAGCGGGCTTCATGTATGTCCCAAGGAGTCCTTTCAGTGGTTGCTGGTGACCTCCCTCCCCTCTGCTCCTCCAGACCTGTCCCCACACCCCCTCTTTATCAGATCAGACCATCCCTGGTCGGGAGACTCACCCTGATCGGCGCCTGCCTGTGTCGCGGGTCATTTAGCCGCACCCTATGGGAGAAGCACCATTTTTTAAAATTAAATGCTTATTTATTTTGAGAGAGAGAGAGCAGGGGAGGGGCAGAGAGAGAGAGGGAGGGAGGTAGAGAATCCCAAATGGGCTCAGGGCTGTCGGCTCAGTCTCATGAACCATGAGATCATGACCTGAGCCAAAATGAAGAGTCGGATGCGCAACTGAACGAGCCACCCAGGTGCCCCTTGGCCTCATTTTTAAGGACCGTTACAGAGTTCCTGCACTGACCATTCCTTTCCCGGGGTGCTGTGTTAATCCCCCGGGGTCACCCAGTGGGGCTGGGGGCTGTGCATCTGTCTCTGCAGACCCAGGAACATTCAGCAGAGCACTAGAAGTTAGTCCATAAATGTTCGTGAATCTTCCAGATTCTACAGAAACACCACCCTATTTAAAGAGTGCAGGCAAACTCAGGAGCCTGGGCTGAGGACCCCGCGGCAGTGGGCATGAGGCTGTGGAGGAGCCCTGCTTGAGGGCAGGACCCGGGTGAGCCTTGGCTCCTCTTAGGGCCTCTTTCACAGACCCCCAGAGCCCCTAAAGACATGAAATAGGGCAAGAAGCCAAAGCTCGATGTTCCAGGAAGTCCAGCTCCTACCCACCCTATCCATTTCCAGAAGGTTCTCTGCTTGGCCTACGGCATGCTCAGATCCCCTCAAAAGCAATCCTTAGACTTGCCACCTGATTAGGAGATCTGCCCGCCCCCAGCCCTCTGTCCTCACAGCCCTAACCTCCTTCTTTTCAGACAACGACAACTTCTTCAAGTTTACTCCCTCCAATGTACCACTCTCAGGGTGCCCACCTAGCTTTTTATTTATTTTTTTAATGTTTATTTATTTTTGAGAGAGAAAGAGAGACCGAGCAGGAGCAGGGGAGGGGCAGAGAGAGAGAGGGAGACACAGAATCTGAAGCAGGCTCCAGGCACCGAGCTGTCAGCACAGAGCCCGACGCAGGGCTCGAACTCACAAACTGTGAGATCATGACCTGAGCCGAAGTCGGACGCTCAACCAACGGAGCCCCCCAGGCGCCCCTAGCTTTTTGTTTTAGTGTGCCTCGAGCCTTATCGAGGCTAATTATCCAGCAGGCACTGTACTAAGTATTCTACATAGGATACCCTGATTTAACCTTCAAATCACTCTCTAAGGCAGAGGCTGTTACTCTTCCCATTTTTTTTAAGTTGCTAGTTTTAAATAATCTGTACACCCAACATGAGGCTTGAACTTAGAACCCTGAGATCAAGAGTGGCATGCTCTTCCGGCTGAGCCAGCGAGGCGCCCCGCCTCCCATTGTACAGATGAGGAAACTGAGACCCGAAGAGGCCACACAGCTTGCCTAAGGTCCCACAGTAAGTGGACTCACACTCACACTTGCGTTGCAGACATTTCAGTGAGATTTTACTCTAGGAAGCTGTAAACACTGAGGACAGAGCCACGGTTTGCTCCCCTCCCACATCCCATGTTGCACAGAAATGGGACCTTGCAGGCAGTGCGTTCCAAACGTGAACACTACTGAGCATGAGGCATCACCAAGGAGCTGGTTAGAAATGCAGGCCCTCAGGCCCCAGCCCAGCACCTACTGAATCAAAACTCATGGGGCGCCTGGCTGGCTCAGTCAGTAGAGTGTGCAACTTTCTTCAGGATGTAAGTTTGAGCCCCACTATGGGTGTAGAGATTACTTAAAAATAAAATCTTAGGGCACCTGGGTGGCTCAGTCGGTTGGGCATCCGACTTTGACTCAGGTCATGATCTCATGGTTCATGGGTTCAAGCCCCGCGTCGGGCTTTGTGATGACAGCTCAGAGCCTGGAGCCTGTTTCAGATTCTCTGTCTCCCTCTCTCTCTGCCCCTCCCCTACTCGCACCCTGTCTCTCTCTAAAATAAACATTTAAAAATGTTTAATAAAAAATTAAAGTAAAATAAACTCTTACGGGCGCCTGGGTGGCTCAGTCCATTGAGCGTCCGACTTTGGCTCAGGTCATGATCTCGCCGTTTGTGAGCTCGAGCCCTGCGTCAGGCTCTGTGCTGACAGCTCAGAGCCTGGAGCCTGCTTCAGATTCTGTGTCTCCCTCTCTCTCTGCCTCTTCCCCACTGCCTTTCTGTCTCTCTCGCTCTCAAAAATAAAGAAACATTTAAAATTTTTTTCAAAATATAGAATCTTAAATAAAAAAACAACTTGAATTTTCACAAAGGCCCAGTTAGTTGGTTTGCTCATCGAAGTTTTTGACCCACAGTGATCTAAATTGAATTGAATAGATGGTACTATACAGACATAGAGAAAGCAAACATATAGGGGAAAAAAAACCTTAAGGGCTCTTGATCTTGGGAGCGTCACCTCTGGAGGAAGCACAGAGCCAGCAGTTAGGGCTCAAGGCTTCCGCCTGCCTGTTTCCACTTCCGAGGTGCTCAAGCAAGATCTTGGCTCTCCAAGGCTAGATGGTAACGGCACGTCTTTAGGGCGTCACCTGCCGGTCGTGTTTAGGTATGCATCAAGGTTTCTGCCCCAGGCATCCCCCTCCCCACCCACCATTCCTGTTACTGGTTCAGATAACTCCTTCCTCTATGAACGAGAATGCAGATCACATGTTTGAGTAGCCCCTTGACCTTCTCAATTCAGTTCAGCTCAATAGGCATCTGTTTGATGGGAACAAAGCAGATGACTTCGACCAACCATTCCTGATCTACCATTAAAGCAAAGGGTCAAACCAGGCGCTTAGTGTTCCAACCAAGGCATAAAGATTTAAAACTGACCCCTATGAGGGGAGTCTGGGGGGCTCAGTCGGTTGGGCCTCCAACTTCAGCACAGGTCATGATCTCATGGTTCATGAGTTCGAGCACCACGTTGGGCTCTGTGCTGACAGCTCAGAGCCTGGAGCCTGCTTCGGATTCTCTGTCTCCCTCTCTGCCCCTTCCCTACTCATGCTCTGTCTCTCTCGCTATCTCTCTCAAAAAAATAAAAATTAAAGAAAAAAACTGATCCCTACCAGAAAGTATTTGCAACATTCACATGGACATGTGTCTATTTACCTATACTTAATCCATCTAAAACAAATTAGAAAAGGAAAGCATCCATCTAGAAAACCAGAAAAAGGTATAGATAAGTTCAGAGCAGGAGAAATACAAATAGGCAGGGGGCATTTTTAAGAAATGACTCTGTTTGTTCATAGCAGCACTCTCAACAATAGCTAAAACATGGAAAGAGCCTAAGTGTCCATCAACTGATGAATGGATCAGGAAGATGTGGTTTATCTATACCATGGAATACTACATGGCAATGAGAAAAAATGAAATCAGGCCATGTGTAGCAACATGGATGGACCTTGAGGGTGTTATGCTGAGCGAAATAAGTCAGGCAGAGAAGGACAAATACCATATTTCTGCACGTATAGGAGGATTAGGAGGAACTTGACGGAGGAACAAGGGGGAGAAGAAGGGGGGAAATGGTGGGGGAAAGGGAGAGAGGCAAACCATGAGAGACTCTTGAATGCTGACAAAAACTGAGGACTGATGGATGTGGGGGGGAGGGGGGATGGGCATGGAGGAGGGCACTTGTGGGGATGAGCACTGAGTGTTATGTGGAAACTAATTTGACAATAAACTATTTGTAAAAAAAAAAGAAAAAGAAAAAAGAAATGACTCTGCTTTCTTCTATTCTTTTAAATTTGATTTTTAAAATTATTCTATTTTCTTCATTAGCTTCATAATTATACATTCTTTTACTATTCCTTTAATGGTTATCAAGAAATTACATGGGGGCACCTGGGTGGCTTAGTCGGTTGAGCGTCCACTTTGGCTCAGGTCATGATCTTGCAGTTTGTGAGTTCAAGCCTTGCATTGGGCTCTATGATGACAGCTCACAGCCTGGAGCCTGTTTCAGATTCTGTATCTCTCTCTCTCTCTCTCTCTCTCTCTCTCTCTCTCTGCCCCTCCCCCACCTGTGCTCTGTCTCTCCATCTTAAGAATAAATAAACATTTAAAAAAATTTCTATATTGGCAGCTATTTCTTTCAGGTTTTTTTTTTAATTTTTAATGTTTTATTTATTTTTGAGAGAGATAGAGACAGCCTGAGCAGGGAAGGGTCAGAGAGAGAGTGAGACACAGAATCTGAAACAGGTTCCAGGTTCTGAGCTAGCTATCAGCACAGAGCCCGATGCAGGGCTCGAACCCACGAACCATAAGATCATGACCTGAGCCAAAGTCTGATGCTTAACCGACTGAGTCACTCAGGCACCCCTCTTTCAGTTGTTTAAAGATTATACCATGTAGCCTTGACATCCCCTGTCTCTTGGATACCAACATTTATCTTGAAAATGAGCTGTCAGTATAATCATTGCTCCTCTACCAGT